TAGTCGATCAGGGGGGTATTATTTTAAACAAAATAGTTACCGAAGAGAATGTCAATCAGTATTCAGTTTTAAATGTAAGGGGTAATTATTGACCAAGGTTCAGTCTAGGTCAGTAATTTTGAGGATAATTTTAAACTGCATATTGATCGATACTGAGGTAACTATATGTTTTATTATATTGAATAAATTAGCGCAACATAAAAATCAAACGTTGGAGTTGCAGGCATAAATAGCTGGGGATGCTCAAGGTCACTGAGTTTTCATTATTGACTCTGAGTGAATGATGAGTTTTATTGTGTCTCACATGAGATATACCGGTAATAAGACAAAATATGACATGGCTTTATATCACTCTGACTGCTAAAAAGATTTTAAATTATTAATAAATTATGTTTTGCCGGTCCTAACTTCTCAGAACGTTCTGGCCGGACCAGAAACTGAGCAAGACACATCCTGGGTAGTTGCCACTGAAGACCACACTCCGCTGGTCTCCACATTTCAAGTACCAGAAAATATACAAGACCACATGAAAGAACAAGTCTATGGTCCCACTTCAGAGATACTCACAAAATCAGTAAGTTATTATGTTCATTTTACACTTATTATTTTACACTTATTTATTGTTTCAGAAGAAAGAACTGCACACTGATAACATAATTTTGGCAGAAGGACCAGATTTTAATACAGTCAAACCCATGTTAGTGACCACCTCTATAATATAAGACTACCTGTCTATAATAACTACTTTCAGACAGTCCCACGGCAACCTACGTATAAAGATCACTTATCTTGCATAACCATCCTGTCAGCAATATTTTGGCAAATTCACCTTCGTTTAGAGACTAAAATAATAATTAGCACTGTTTTTATAAAACAATTTTTAATTTCCTCAAGTCAAACTTATTAGTCAACTTTCAATCAACTCAAATAACTTTGTTTTTCGGAACAAATATTACCAGTACATGTACGTCAAATGTATTAGTTGGTGATCCATAAAAGAAAATAATCCACTTTCTATATAAAGACCATTTTAGAAGTTCCTTGTCATTGTACATAGGTTTGACTGCAACATTATAAAAAAAATAGAAATACAATGTTTTTTAAATTATTCCATCTAAAGGTGAGAGTGTATAATTATCTAATGAAACACTTTGTTTGTATTCCAGGATTTTCCACTCAAATCATACGAACCCAAAGTGCAGCTGCCCTTTTTTGTCCCACCTGGTCACACACCAAGAAAAATTGAAATAGAGCGACAAAAGAGACATTTTTCAAAACAAGATTTAGTGGATTTATTACGAAAAGAAGGAATTGAAACGGCTAATTTGATGCCGAAATCTGACGCTATACATCAGCAAGTACGTTTGAATTCGTCATCAGAGGATCCAGCACCGTTCCCGCCGTTTCTTCCTCTACACATTTTTGATGATGTGGAGTTTGATTGCAGAACTCCTGAGGAATGGGTTAAAATGGGACAGGATAATGGAGTGCGAAGACCTGTGCCGGGTAAAGCTTTACTACCGACATGGGATTCAACAGAACCTAGTAAGTAATATAGGTCATATACTGTAAAATACTTTATTTTAACTGAAATTAATTTCGCTGAAATACTTTAATGGGTGTTTTGTTTGGAATTTATTTTCTCTGATTTTCGACAAGTTGAATGCAAAATATAGGAAAAAAAGGTATATTCACTGGATCATTCCTCCAGTGAAAATAATGAATATAAATTCCAAGCGAAAATAAAGTATTTTACAGTAGTACACATGGTGTACCAATGTCTGATTGATATAATGTTGAAAGATCTTTGTCCTTATATGTGTAATTTCGTAGAAAATAGATTAAACATGTGCGAAGTTTGTTTTACATCAGATGGAACAAAATTTGCTGTGATATCAATTATCAATATATTGTCAAAGATTGTATGTCAATAAATACACTACACTTGTAATCTACATGTTAGAAAACAGCTATCCTTGGGGGCGGAGCTACGTCACAAGATGTTCCACGTTGCTAAGACGCGCACCACTGTACATGCATTTCTATGGGCTCTGTGCGCGCTGCTGTGGAACGCCGGTCAAAGAGCCGGTGAAAATTCGAGAAAACGACACAAACTCAACTTTGAAGTAATCCTGAACAACCAAATTTATATATGTAATTATTGTTACACACGTAGGGCTAATCTTATTACATTGTTCAGGGGGATCTCAACAACCATCCCAAAGTATCGTTTTCTGCGAGTTTTTGGCCTTTGTTTTCACCGCGAGGGTTGCCAAGCGGTGAAAAACGCCCGGATGTCCGCCCCCGAGGATAGGCTAATTAGCCATTTACTATAATTGTTCTTATTGTTTCATACTACAATTAAACTCTCTATGACAATGAAAAAACTTAAAAGTAACTTAAATTTCAAAAAATGTGATTGAGTCATTTGTCTAACTTTTATAAACAAATAATAGTAAACATCATCATCACAGATGTTAATTCAACTACGCTGGTACTAGTATTGGTAATATTATCAAAGTTGATCCAGCTGACTGCTCTCTCAGTATATCATCTCAGACTAGCTAGGTATCGCTAAAATTCCACTCACAAACCAAACTGAAAGGCTTAGATATTCTGGTTTCATATTAAATCAAACCATTTGATATAAAAGTACTGTAATATGACTAATTTTCACTGGGTTTAAATTTTGCTGATTTACCATTTCAGGCATATTCAGTGAGTTTTAAATTCACTGTTTTATCATTTAGATAATGTGTTCTATGCTCAATTTTACATATTCACTGGGTGGGTTTTAATTTAGCGCATTTTCCAGTCAGCAAAATAAGCAAAATTAAAACCCAGTGAACAATTAACCTTTTTACAGTATGCTACTTTTTGTTATGAAAATGTTGTTTTCAAAATTTGGAGAATTACACCTTTTATATTTTAGTGTGGAACCTTATGACTTTTTCGTTACTTACTTTCCTATTGTGTGTACATGTATGTCTATTTCCATGGTTGAGCCATGGACAATTCTGTATACAACTCTATAATGTCACAATTTTCAACTTACTGTATAAAATAAGTACTGAGCATAGTATTTAACCAGCCTTTTAACCTTTCTATCATTTTAGACAGTCACTCTACATCTTAGACAAGTACAAAAATCCATTTGGCAGCAAAAATCTTTACAAACCTGTCCAATTTTCATTGTAAATTACCTTTAACAAAAAATAAACTATAACCTTATAGCTACAGACGAGCAACTGATATTTTTGGTGATAACATTTTTAGACAGCCACTTTTTTTATTTTCTGGTTATATAACCCTGGTTCTAACTGTGTTTGTATCTTTAGTGGATCCAAAAGACCCATCCATAGAGTATGAGTGGTTTGATGTCGGTATGTTGGATTACGATAAAGAAGAACAGTTGTTTCTAGTACAGAAAGTTGATATGGAAGGTAGAATTGTAGATCAGAACGGTGAACCTATCATCAATGGTGGACTCAATGAGAATGGTAAGTCACACATGCATTCATTACACAATCAGACTGACATACAGACAGATAGATCCATGACATGGGGTCCCTGTCAAGCATTTTCACTGGTGTGTTACTGTTGAAGCAACATCTCTGACTACCCCTATATTAGACATTCTGTCAGCAAATTTGCCTTGCTAGTTGGCATCTCTGACTACCCCTATACCCCTATAGTTGGCAACATTGCTTTTTATGGCCATGTTATAGACTCACATGCACCAAACTATTCAGTGAAGTGCTGGCCATGTTGCAAACCAGCCAGACAATCAGCTGACTGCTTGGCTGATTAGGAGTACTCAGATTTATTACACCCAGAGTAAATGTAACTTGATATAATATAATCATAATTATTTTATAATCATAATAAGGTGATACATGGGGAATAGAACATTATTATCTATTTTCTCATGTTATCATTAATATGGGTTTTATGCCACTGGTATACCATCTTCGTCAACCAACGTCTGTTTGCTAGGCCACCACCTCGCCACTTTACCTTGGCACATTCTGTTCAGTGAGTGTGTATTCCAATACACCCTCTTTGGCAATTCAACATTCCATCAGTTCATGTTATATGCTAAAGCATGGTTGATTATATGCATGTTTTAGATGCACTTCCTATCAGATTTATGTGTCTTACCAAGGTCAAATACACATTCAACTTCTCACTAGAATCATACACATGTTTATATATTATATGTATGGGAGTATTTTAAATTACGGTCACAAAACAGAGTGATTTGGACAATGCTCTTCTTCTGTGGTGCTGGACAAGTTTCTCCTCTTGTCTTGTTTAGTGACATGAACTAAAAAAATGATAATGGTATTGATGTAATTCTAATATTGGTAAAAATGTTCAAAATACTGTAGTTTCCAACATAATGAATATTTTATGGAATCTATGGAAATTGTTTTCCCTTAATTCATTGCAACATATAATCAGTAATATACTCAGTAGTTGCAATAATTGAAAGAGTTACCATGCTCTTCAAATGGACATCCATTAATAAAATGAATTCTTTATTGTAGGAGAGAGAGTGATGCTAACAAGTCAGTACTGGATTCCACGTATACGCCTCATGTTCTCAGCTGAAGACCCAGCAAACCTTGCATGTCGAGTAGCCAAGGCATTCCGAGACAGAAAACACACCGAAGCATTGCTACGTTACAATCTGTATATAGATTGTATGCCGATGGAAGGAGTTGGAGAGCTTGACACAGAGTGTTTAAAGCGCATGTCAGACTGGGCAAAAGGTGCGCCTGCATTAGCAAAGGATAAAAGGTGGGTTTGATAGTCAATAATTCCATTTACAATCCTGTTCTTTCAAATGTCATGGATTCTATGTAATGTATATAACATGTGTATATAAATATATTGTTTGTTTATGAAATTTGAACCCATGATACATTGCAACTTATATTTCAAAGTAGTTGTACCTTTTATGACCATCTCAGTTTCAATATGAAAAATATTTTGCCATTGATGTTGTGAAAAGTCCAGAAAGTTCATACCAGAAATTTAGAGAGTGGCCCTCATCTCCAAAAAAGATACACAGGGTATATTGCAATTTAACTCTATATTTTCTTCAGGCAAGAAAATGAAATCCAATGAATTATGTATTTGAATATGTTTCCCAC